AATTGAAAAAAGTACTTCGATCCTCACATAATGCTCCCTATTTTCGGCCTTGTGCCACATTTAAAGTTGGCTTAGAAAATCAATATGCATACCTCGATGTGGTGTTATGGTTAGCAAGCTTGTCCCGTTAGATCAATTACGACTGAGTAGTGAGTTCGATCCTCACTGGGTGCCCCGTACTTTCAGCCTTGTGCCACATCTAAGCTACGCTTTAAAAACTCTCCATAAATATATATCCATACAAAGAAGTAAACAAAAAAATAAGTTTTAAAGACAAGTCAAGTTTAATTACTTTCACAGTTGTTATGGCAGGTTTAAGATAAAGCCAGCTAAGTTCACGTAAGTAAGCGAATAATTCAAATAGGTCCCAACATCTTAAATTAAGGTCCAATTTCCTTCTCCCTCAAAACCTAGGTATAATGGAAGGAACGAAAGCAAAGAAAAAAAGGAATAGGAGAAAATCTCTGTAAAAAGAAGGAAAATAAACGAACGCAAAGTGCTGTACTCTCGAGTTAAAATTAGATACGTGTTGACTTGCGTAGGTATTGGCCTCGGGCTGACAAACGAAGAGCAATACTCGCCTCACTTCCTACCCTCGCGTGACACCAGAATATCCCCGCGACCGCTCGCCAATCTAGGAAAGGATTTCTTTTCTGTTGTTTTTGAGTGAATGAAGTGACAAACTGTTACGGTTGATATATTTGCGTATTAGCCAACTTTACAAGTCGAAACCTATTCAACTAAATGTTTATCTTTTTTTTTTCTACGGGTGTCCTTTTTATGATAAAATTCTTATCGCTTGTATTTCTTTCTCTTTTTATCTTGCGAGAAACTTAAGAAAGAGAAACCATGAAAAAGCGTTTGTCATCAAAACAGTAAAAAAAAAAGCAAACCTTTAGCAATCGAACACTTCGTACAATACGTTTTACTTTCCTTTTTTATTTGACTTTATTGCATATCTTATTTTTTGTTCTTCCTTTATTTTATATTATCCCTTTCATGCTTTATTCTTTGAACCTTTTTCAACGGGCTTGTCGCTTCCTTGCGGTTTTAAATCTTTCTTTCTTCAAATAAGTACAGTGTAACCCGGATATAAGAGAGTTGTCGGGACCGGAGAAGAATACTCTTATATCCGGGTTTGGTCTATTTTATATACATTAACACAGGCTCTAATTTGGGACCAGAGAAAATCTCTCTCGTATATCCAGGTTTTTCTTATATCCGGGTCTCTTATATCCGGGTCACACTGTATATTCTATTTGTTTCTTTCATTTTTTTTCTGATAACGTTTACGTCTTTCTTATAATTCCCTCTGTTTTTCCTTCCTGTCTTCTAATAGTGATTTTCCAAGCCCGGCTTAAATGTGGTACAAGGCCGAAAGTATGGGGCGCCCAGTGAGGATTGAACTCACTAGTCAGTCGTTATTGATCTAGCAAGACAAACTTTCTAACCATTACACCACGTCGAGGTGCCCTTCCTGTCTTCTAATAATTCCTTTTGCCTTTCTTTCTTCTACTAATTTCTTTCTTCTACTAATTTCTTTCTTTCATTTTTAAATCCTTTCGATTTCTTACCTTCTATGTTTCTGTATTTCTTTCTACCGTCTTGAAATTATTTTTTTTTAATTAATTAATTTTTTTCTTTCTTTCTTTCTTCTCACGTTGAAAGACCAGTTCCCGTACGATCACCGAAGCAACGTCGAGCCTGGTCAGTACCTATATTGGGTAACCCCCTGGAGAATATCAGGTGCTGTAAGCTTGAATGGTCGGGTGGTGTAATGGATAATGGCTTGGAGTTGTTAATCGGGAAGCCGAGTTCCAATTCCTGTTGGGTTAGTTATTCATTTACGTAAAAATACCATTCAGAAATGTATGGATCCATCTCTTCTACCCCCTGCTATGGGTTAATTATTAATACTTGTATCTCTAAACTATTATTATCTTCAAAACTATTATTATCTTCGTTAAAAACACTTATAGTTGAATAAAAATATTTTCTGGCTTTAAATAACATGTAAAGTTATAAGGCGTAGGAAAGGAATCAATCAACAATTTTCTTGAGAATTCATTTCTTTCTTCTTTCTTTGTTATTTCTACTAATTTCTTTCTTTTTTCTTTTCTTTTCTTTTCTTTTATTTCTTTTCTTCTTTTCTTTTCTTTCTATTCTTTCTTTCCTTTCTTTCTTTTCTTTCTTTCTTTCTTTTCTTTCTTCTGATTCATTTCTTCAATGGTTTCTTCTTTGTTGTTTTTACTAATTCAAGTTTTTTTCTTTAATTCATTTTTTTAATTTCGTTCTTTATTGTATCTAAGAATGCAAATGTTTCTTTCTTCTAATAAGTTGTTCCTTTGTTTGCTTATTTGTTTCTTTCTTTCTTTATTTTTGCTAATATTTCATTTCTTCTTCCTTCTTCTAATAATTCCTTTCTAATTTCTTCCATTTCCTTTTTCAACCTTCTTTTTCATTCCCTTCCTTTCATTTTGTCTTTCCTTTCCTTTCTTTCTCCTTCTCCATTATTCAAATATATCAGCGTCGGTGTTTTATAGAGATAGCTATCAGTTTCAGTTCAGCTCTGGTAACGCGTGATTTGAACAAGCAACTTGAGACACTTTCAATAGCCAACGTTTTGTCTGATGAAGACGCCTTTCTCAATGAACAAGAAAAAAAAAACATGACAAATAGAAAGTGATTAAACCATCGAGAATCTGCACTGTGCACTCAACCGACAAGACAGATACTACAAGGCCTTTTTTGTCACTTGAACGTAAAAGACAAATTCTTGGTAAAGCCATATTTAAGTAGACGACTTAGACAAACCCCTATTAACCCTATCGCAAACAAATTTAAATTTTGTTGAATTTTCGAAAATAAACATCTTCAGTCTAAAGCAGTAATCATTATCGATAACATGTCAGGAATTTAACTACCATTTTGCTTAGCGAGACACGGGGAGGTGTTGATGATCCCTATGATCATTTGTAGGGTAATTTCGACAATCAAAATATTGTGCGCATCTTACGCAAATTTGGTTACAGTTAGGACATTTTCATTAAAATCAAAGAAAGACATACTGAAAGTTTATGTGATATCAATCCTATATGTAGGGAATGAGAAACAATCTCATCGCAGAGGAAGAAATGACTTTACGCAACATAAGTGTGGTTCTACAGAAGGATGCTGAGAATACCTTGGAATATAAATGGGAGGAACGATGAATTAATAATGAATTGGACAGACTAGAAAAATTAGGTGTGATATCAAAAATAGACCATTCCAAATGGCCATCAACAACAGTCTACGTTAAAAAAAGGAAAAATAAAATCCACATATGTGCTGATTTTTCAACGGGGTTAAATGAAAGTTTAAAACAACATAACAACCCATTACCAAATCCAGAAGAAATTTTTGACAAATTAAATGGTGTCAAATTCAACCAACTTCTTTTCGATATAAAGGTAGCGCCAAGCATATTTCAGCAGATAATGGATACCTTGCTAGTTTGGATTGTGCTCAAGCATATTTTGGATGACGTACTTATTAAAATTAAGACCCGGAAGTGACATACGGAAGATGGTAAAGAAAGTCTTTGAGAGAATCAAAGAGTATGGTTTTAAGATTAATGAAGGAAAAATGTGATTTTTCATGTCATTTTAGGAAAATGCAATCCCGAAGGACACTTATAATTAGAATCAGAAAGTGGCCGTTGAAAGTTCTAGGGCACATAGCGAAGAAAGAGGGCTTGGAGAATTTAACATTCACAGGATATAGTGAAAGCAAAAGAGACGGCAAAAAACAGCGAATAACCTCCCTAACGAGCATATGTAAATGGGGGATAGGGACGTACAACAAACATATAAAATCTTACTGCTATGACAGGGAGTTGTGGAGGGTCATGTTCCCCAACGTCCTAAAGGGACACGGAACAACGACAACGACAAAGAAGATATTAAAAAAAAAGTATTTTCTGCTTTTTAATGATAGAAATATTACTGTGGCCTACTTTATGGCTGAAATACGCGAATACTTTTTACTCGTGACGCAGGGAGGGGTTCGATTCCTGGTAAAACCCAATTTTCTAATGTGGATTTTGAAGCAGACAGAATCTCCCCTCTTGAAAGAATTCTGAAAAAAATGTTTTTGTCATTTGAACTTGCACAGTATTAAGCTAAACTTGGTAATATCTTGAAATATATTATCGTCAATTTTCCCCAGAAGTCTGCAGTATAAGCGTTCTGTTTCAAGAAGTTAGACAATAAAATATTTGTTCCGAATTTGTAGAAATAACTCAATCTTTTCAATAAGATAATCATTAAAAAAAATGCGGAATCTGGATTCAGTTGATTTTGTCTTTGAAAGGTACCCCATACTTTCGTTTTTGTGTCACATCCAAGCTAGTCTTAGAAAATCATTTGGGCACTTCAACTTGGTGTAATGGTTAGCAGACCTTTGCCACTAGATCAGTTAATAGTGAGTTCGATACTCACTGGGTGTCCCATGATTTCGGCCTTGAGCCAAATCTAAGCTACGCTTAGAAAATCATTTGTGCATTTTGACGTGATGCAATGGTTAGCAAGCTTTTCTTGCTTGTTCAGTAACGACTGAATAGTGAGTTCGACCTTCACCAGGTATCCCATAATTTCGATTTTGTGCCCTAAGTTACGTTTAGATAATCACCTTTAATATCAATTCTTATATTTAGTCGATACCAACTGGATAAACTTAAAAAAATTGTTAAATCTAGTTTAAATTCAACTGCTACATTTTCAAAAAAAATCTTCAGTGCATATTATTTGTCAGTTATGTGCAATGGGTGATACACGCTTATGCGATCATGTATCTTTCGATACATGACTGACAAGGCAATTTTTTTCCCGTAGTAGTTTGCCAAATTCTTTCTTTGGTAGAACTTTTGCCATCCAAAGTCTGTCCTGCTATTTATTCATAGCTGGGGGGAGAAGTGGATTCATACCTTTCCCAAGGGTATTAGCAGGTAAGTGAATGCAATGGAGTCGACTGGAATCCGAACCGCTATTCATTACTCCACCGTGTCTCCCGCTATCCATTACTCCACTGTGCCCCCGCTATCAATTACTCCACCGTGCCCCCCACTATCCATCACTCCACCGTGCCCCCCTGCTATCCATTACTCCACTGCGCCCCATATCCATCACTCCACCGTGCCTACCGCTATCCATCACTCCACCGTGCCCCCCCGCTATCCATTACTCCACCGTGCCCCTCCCCCCGCTATCCATTACTCCATCGTGCCCCCGCTATCCATTACTCCATCATGCCCCTGCACTATCCATTACTCCACTGTGCCCCCCGCTATCCATTACTCCACTGTTCCCCCGCTATCCATTACTCCACCGTGCCCCCGCTATCCATTACTCCATCATGACCCCCCCCGCCATCCATTACTCCCTCATGACCCCCGATATCCATTACTCCACCGTGCCCCCCCGCTATCCATTACTCCATCATGCCCCGCACTATCCATTACTCCACTGTGCCCCCCGCTATCCATTACTCCACTGTTCCCCCTGCTATCCATTACTCCACCGTGCCCCCGCTATCCATTACTCCATCATGACCCCCCGCTATCCATTACTCCCCTCATGACCCCCGATATCCATTACTCCACCGTGCCCCCCTGCTATCCATTACTCCATCATGCCCCGCACTATCCATTACTCCACTGTGCCCCCCGCTATCCATTACTCCACTGTTCCCCATATCCATTACTCCACCGTGCCCCCATATCCATTACTCCATCATGACCCCCGCTATCCATTACTCCCCTCATGACCCCCCGATATCCATTACTCCACCGTGCCCCCGCTATCCATTACTCCATCATGCCCTGCACTATCCATTACTCCACTGTGCCCCCCCATATCCATTACTCCACTGTTCCCCCTCTATCCATTACTCCACCGTGCCCCCGCTATCCATTACTCCATCATGACCCCCGCTATCCATTACTCCCTCATGACCCCTGATATCCATTACTCCACCGTGCCCCCCTGCTATCCATTACTCCATCATGCCCCTGCACTATCCATTACTCCACTGTGCCCCCGCTATCCATTACTCCACTGTTCCCCCGCTATCCATTACTCCACCGTGCCCCCCCGCTATCCATTACTCCATCATGACCCCCTATCCATTACTCCCTCATGACCCCCCGATATCCATTACTCCACCGTGCCCCCCGCTATCCATTACTCCATTGTGCCCCCCCCTATCCATTATTCCACCGTGACCCCCGCTATCGATTACTCCACCGTGCCCCCCCTGCTGTCCATTACTCCACCGTGCCCTCCCCCGCTATCCATTACTCCACCGTTCCCCACTATCATTACTCCATCATGACCCCCTGCTATTCATTACTCCACCGTGCCCTCCCCCACTATCATTACTCCACCGTGGCCCCCTGCAATCCATTACTCCACTGTACCCCCGCTATCCAATATTTCACCGTGACCCCCGCTATCCATTACTCCACCGTGCTTCCGGCTATCTGGTGCCCCCGCTATCATTACTCCATCATGAACCCCGCTATCCATTACCCCACCGTGCCACCCGCTATCCATTATTCCACCGTGCCCCACCGCAATCCATTATTCCATCTGGCCCCCCGCTATCCATTACTCCACCGTGCCCCCTAACTATCCATTATTCCACCGTGCCCCCCGCTATCCATTACTCCACCGTACATATTATACATGATGGAATTTTTTGAAAAAGGTTTTATCTCATAGAGCCACATAAGATACAAGTGTCTTTAATATATACGTATAATGATGATATTTTTTATCGATTTATTTAGCTAGCTTACTTTTTATGGATGAAAAGGTGTATAGCTATAGTTTAATGCTAAGGTGACAGGTTATTAGCAGGAAGAGCACCATGATAAAACGGTGATTAACATATATAGCAAATACTTGAAAGAAAACATTCTCAGTTGAACACGTGCAATTTTGTTGTAGAGAGGAAAACGTCCATGTTTGAAGTAGAGGTATAAAGCTATGCATACCTAATTAGATACACGGCATTACTGCATTTCCTGGTGTCCAAAGAACACAATAATTATGCTCAGAATGATATCAGAAAGAGCAATAAAAATGCAAAAAAAAAAAAAAAAAAAAGTGCACCAGTCTTTTATACATTATGCAAACGCGTTAGATAAAGTACGCCACAAAGACCTGTTGAAACTGCTTAGCAACGTTGACATATCTGGAGAGGATATCAGAATAATAAAAAAAAACTACACTGGCAGCAAACTGCCTGCATACGGATAGAAAGTGAGTTCTACGGCTATACAAAAATAGAAAGAGCTGTAAGACAAGGATGTGTCTTCTCACCGGACCTCTAGAACGAGGAGATTCTTAGTGAAATAGATACCCTGCAAGCATTTATTACTGGCGGTCACAATATTAATATAAGATACGCAGATGATACATTATTGATAAGAGACACGGAAATAAAGCTACAAAACACGTACAGGAGGTACTGAAGGAAAGCGAGAAGAAATTACTAAACATCGACTGAAAGAAAACAGAATGCTTGGTTGTTAGCAAATGGATAGGCCCCAAATGTAAGAGAGGACGTAAAGCGCGATAGTGAAATCTGGGATAGTCAAAGATGCATTCTGAAAGCTAAGCAAAGTATTAAGCAACAGAAAAAAAAATCCGTTATTAACAAATAAAAGAGTACTGAAGTGTGACATGATATCAATCTTCCTATATGGCAGTGAATGCTAGACACTCGCCTCGAAGATGAAGGAGAGACGTGAAGCAATAGAAATGAGGTTCCACAGGAGGATGCTGAGAATATAATGGACCGAACATAGGAGCAACAACAAAGGAAATATATACTGAACAACAGGGACAGATCCTTGAAATTTCTTGAGGAAGGAAGGCTTAGAAAATATGAGACTCTGTGGGACAAATTGGAGTCAAGATGAACAGAGGAATCAGCGAGTTACCTGCCTTGCTTAAGAAAATGGATAGCGGGAAAAATGTTTAGGAGAAATAACACAATGATAAAATTTATTAAGAACTCCAGAAGACAGGCAATTTTTGAGAGGCATGATCACTTACTCCCTGAAGGTACACGGGACATACAGAGGAAGAAATCTAGAAAATTTATCTTGCCTCTTACAGGCCAAAAGGTTACTTTTTTTTTTTTTTTACTACATGTTATGTTCTTTTATCTTAAATTTCAAAATTCAAACTTTGGGTGTGTCTTTGACGCTCGACCGACCTGAGCCTCAGAAAATACAGTATACTTACACTATTACTTATTATAAAATTTAGATATACGAATATTCATTTATTGAATTTTCTATAAAAATCCTATAGAAACACCTGTACAATACTTCACGAAATAAATGACATCACTGCAAAATAAAGTCCATCAGCTATCTTGAAAATATCTTACCTCGCACGTGTAGAGACACGCACACACACTTAACGACAGATGTACAATGTGTATGTGTGCAACAGAGATAGACATGAATAAACTGAGATAGATATGAAAGACTGGAATAGATAAATATATTGTGCTTTCCCAAGCGTAGCTTAGATTTGGCACAAGGCCGAAAGTAGGAGCCATCCTGTGAGAAGCGAACTCACTACTCAGTCATATTTGTTCTAGCGAGACAAGCTTGCTAACCATTACACCGCCTCGAGGTCCCCATAGACTGATAAATATATATGAATGAACTGAGATAGATATATTGATAGATATATATGAACAAACTGATAGAGATAGATAGGTAGAACAAAATGATATAGATAGATAGATAGATATGAACAGACTTAGATAAATAGACAGATAAACAGATAGATAGATAGACAGATAGATAAATATGAACAAACTTGGATAGATAGATAGATAGATAGATAGATAGATAGGTAGATAGATAGATAGATAGATATGAATAGACAGATAGATAGATAGATAGATAAATAGATAGATAGATAGATAGATAGATATATATGAACAGACTGAAATTGATAGATATAAACTGAGACAGATAGATATGAATAGTCTGAAATTGATAGATATAGGCTGAGATAGATAGATAGATAGATAGATAGATAGATAGATAGATGTGAACGGAATGAGATAGATAGATAGATAGATAGATAGATAGATAGATAGATAGATAGATAGATAAATAAAGAGAGAGAGTGAAAGAGAATTGGGAGTAATGCTAAATTCAAATTTCTAATGCGAAACTTTTCTATAGAAAAAGAAATGCCATTTTAGGATTTAAATATCACAGGAAACATGATTGATTGGTGTTTTTCACAGAAAAGAATTTTCGAATCGCAACACCATCAAGATTCGTTCACAACTACATAAAGATGCAAGCAAAAGAATCAGGAACTGGCCTCAGGTACACAGGTCGGCTCTGTATCTCATTATTAAACACTTTAATTTTTCCTTACTTTTTTTGAAAAATAACGAAGGAAATACTTGCCCTATTAATGTGCAAGATATTTTACATAATTGGTACAAATTCTACGAGATTCTATATCACTGTTAGGCTCTGAGTAATGTTTAATTTCAACTGATTTAAAAGTTAAATATTATAAGCCACATTACCAAAACTCCCAGGAAGATTACGATGTAATTAGAAATGGTAATTATAAGAGATGCGCAAAGTTTACGCAGTCAAAAGTTTTGCACAAAGTATTGTAAACAATGTCATTGCAATGAGAAGAAAGTTACGAAAACAACATCAATGTAAAATGTATATTTCCGAATCTATTTTTAAATGTTATTCATCCATTGATTGTGTGTTTCTTAATGTGAAACAGATTACCCAGTTTTAAGAACATTACCCCAAAGTTCTTTTTTGATATTAAATTGTCATCCGTCAATGTAAATCGTCTTTTTCGGAATGTTCCACATTTCGTTTAAACTTACGCGAATACGCCGGCCACTTCATTAAACTAAAACGCATTTTATTCAGATATGCAATGTGATTGGCCCTGATTTGACGTCTCGTTTACAGTCGCTCTCTCATAGACGTGCCGTCACTTCCTTCTGTCTTTTCTACAAATACTTTCACGATAACTGCTCCGACGAGCTACTTTCGCTGGTTCCCAAATTTAAGCGTGCTACTAGGCTGGCATGACGGTCCCACCCTTTCAATGTCGAAACGGTTAAATATAGCTGTCTCTTCTACTCCAATAGCTTCATGTCTCGCTCTTCCCGTCTGTCGAACGCCTTTCTTCTTACTTGCTTCTCTGATAGCTATAATCTTCAAATGCAATGTCAATCGACATCTCCAGATGTTCTGAACTATTCCCCGCTATTCTCTTCATCCTTTCCTCTAACACGCCTCTTTACTCTTGCTCTAACTTTCTGTAAACCCTTGCGTACTAGTGGCACTCCCGCCTTGCTTGTATTAATTCGTTGGAGCATTGTTCTATATAAAAACACATTATCTTTCGGGAATCATGTTTAAAACTTGTCTCAGTTGCTGCTTCAAAGGGAAAATAAAATCAATCTATGTCTGAGCTTTCAGAACATCAGAAACTCACCCAGAATTTCACCACTTATAATCATATTCCAAAACATCACATCAAATCCACCTTCTTCATATCTTCGCCTACGAATGGAGTTTCCCCCACTAGCCACTCCGCCTGTTGTATCCGTCTGGATTCATTGAGGATAACACAACATTCATCGGTGAAAAGAACGGTTTAAAAATCACTCTTAATGTATTCCGCTGCTTATCTCGTATATGACAATATTTTAAAGGATGCCTTATGATCAACCAGTCATAGTTTGCCACCTGATTTAGAATTCAACCCTTTGTGCATTCCAACATATACTCACTGCCTCTATAGTTACCTGGCACATGCCCGGTAGGGTTTATCATCACTCAGTTGCGTTTTTGTCTTCGGGCAACTGAGAAAAATAATACTTTCAGGTACCCAGTCCTGGGGAACAGCTGCTAGAGAGGGGAATGGTGCTCAGCACTAAGGCCAGTGCAACCGACCAGGCTAGGGTAATATTTGTCCGTGGCCCGAATGCATGCGCTCGGGTAACCCTCAGTAAATCCTACCTTGTATCACCTAACATTTCTGTGAGGAGATGATGTAAATACGCATACTTACTGCTACAATTCCAACAACTTTCCTAGTTCCCAATAATGAATTTGTTATAAATTCTCATTTAATACAGGGCATATATCGGTGATATAATAACCTATTATCGGAGGTAAATTTAATCGGTTGATTAACTGATTTGAATTTTATTGCGCATCAACCGCTTTTGAGTTATTTAAACAGAACAGAAACCTATTTTAAATTGTGAGAATAATTTCATTACAATTCAATATTCATGAGAATAACAATAATATTTCTAGATTGAAAACTACTATTTAATCCATATATGGGGAGAGATTCATATTTTCCCTAAATGGATTTGTGCATAAGTGAATGCAACGAACCCGATTGGATTTGGAACTCGGCTCTACGATTTCTCATTTCAAGGCTCTATGCATTAAACCACCCGCGCATCTAAACAAAAACGAAATCATTCAAGAGCTTTAACGGACTTCTTCACAATCCAGTGTAGATAACAGCCATTACTGAAATTTCCACTATTGCATTCTGTTTTACACAGTTAAGTTTTTAACGGTGGTTCGGTGGTGTATTGTTACGGTGGTGTATTGGATAGCGGCCCAGATTGTGGAATCGGAGAGCCGAGTTCGATTTCCAGTTGGAACCGTTACATTACGTGCTATGAATCCTCTACTTCTCTCTCCAGCTATTGGTAAATAGCAGGTGTAGGAGAAGGAAAAATTTGAATTCAAAACCGGACTGGAGAGGGTTGAGCTCCATCAGGCTTTCTTGCTCAAGAAACACCACTTCTACTGCGGCTGCGGTACACATGGTGTCCCTATGGGTCACAGAATACAAAAAAAAGGTTTTAAGCATTTGTGAAATCTTTTCATAGTTCTTAAAACTTTCAAATTGCAACGTTCAATACGAGACTTTGAAATTCAAGACATTTGATACAAACGGGTGTACCCGATTATTTCTCTCTTCTTTGAATTGGCTTTGATCTTGCACATAATATCTTTGTCATGCTCTTAAACATCGAATAAACATTATATTACAATGAGAATTTATTTTATATAGTGATAAAAATAACAAATAATGTGAGGTTATGTTTAGCTGATTATATATAATTGTCGTAATCATTATAAAAAATTAAACTCCTGTAGATGAGAAGGTGATCTATTCTAAGCAGTACCTCCCCCTCTAGGTGAAAATGCATATTTAAAGAGACAATCTCTTGAAACAAGTAATGGATGCTTTTTTTTTCTTGTATAGGCATGTCTAGCCCATACTTGAGTAGAAACGTTCATTTTCTCTGTTATTCAGTAATATAGATAATTTTTTGAATAACACTTCGGGTAGTTCATTTAGAAATCCCAGTGTCTTAGGGGTTAATTCACGCTTCTATTTAATCGGTTTATGATTTCGTAGTATAAACACTTTGTGGTTGAGTTATAAACATATTTCAATGGGAGTACTCTAGTTGAAACCTTATGAGCACAGCTGGATGCTATAGATGTTTTTTTTTCTTTTTTTATTGGCAATAAATGACATAAAATAAACATGAAAACATCTACTACATCAAAGCAATTATATCGAAGTAGCCTCGCGATCGTTATGAAATACATCATTTAGATTTTACTGGCAATGACGACCGGCGTTTGTGTACTATGTCCCTTTACTCCGCTGGGCAGTCGTTTCTTTGTGACATTTACGCATACATGCAAATGGCATTACAACATTAGAATGTACTATATTTCTTTGATTTTCAAAGTATAATATTAAAACTGTCAACATTGTTCACTTTATTACATACATATTTCTTAATCCCCGTTATTCTCAAGTTGTGATCGAAATGATTAGGTAGTTTCTATTTTCAGATAAGAAAATGGTTTTATTTGAATAACCAAGTTATTTAATTATAAAATCTATCAGTAACAAAGAGTAGATTAGAAATTAGTAACAGAACAAGTATTAGGAGCTGAATAGTCAAATTAATGTAATTAAGTAACAAACGTTAAAATGAACAAGACAACACATTCTGTTACGTATGAATGATAAAATTATCATTTCTCATGCGGTCATTATTATTAAGGTCACACACAAGGAGGCCCTTACCAAAGAAAATAATTCTTCTGTGGGAGCGAACTATGATCAATCACTCGAAACTAAGGTGTCAACGTAAGGGAAATTCTGAGGCTAATTAAATATCTTTGGCTTTGTGAACGCGTACTACTTCAACGCTAACCCCGGTTTTCTGTCCTATTCTGTTCGAATGCGCGTATGGATAAATCCCCAAACCATATTTATTTAGCCTATCTCTTATGCTCAGTGACAGAGGCCTATACCTCCTGAGGCAGTAGCTCTCTCGTTGCATTAAGAAGAGACGTCCATGGTCAATTCCAGAAGCCTGAGGCTTCCTAATGGAGAAAAGCTTATAATTTTAAAAATCAATGGTTCGTGTTGCCTTTCAGCAATCATCTTAGCGGAAATAACCACGGATTATTTATTTTCAACGATTATATCTTTCTACCGGCAATTTGACAATGCAAATATCCCCGTTTGCTCACCAGATACAGGTGTTACACGCAGTGAATAACGAACACATTGTTGGGGTGAAAGCCTGATAACTATCGTTCTACGGCAAGTGCAATTTACTCTTTTTAACTTGGCCGGCGTCCATCAGCCATCGTTAGAAGTGAAGGTGATTGCAAATATTTATATCAACTAAGCATTAAAGAACCTTATGAATACTTTGTGACATTGACAGGAATCCCGTTTTAAGTGATAAAGATAACTGTGAAGCCGTAATTACTGATAAGTTGAAGAAGAGACACTTGCCGTTGAGCGATACCGAGCAAAAAAAAATGGTGTTGGGGGGGGCGTTTAGTCTCACATTTTACATGACATAAGAAAGTCATTAATGGTGCATTTTTCGGGTCAAAGCAATAACGCAATTCAGCGAGGATGTTGGTTGTTTTTATCGAGTCCCCAAATCTGGATAGAATGCCAATCGTTGTATCACCCCATTAGCTAACCTGTTTTGAACTCAGGGACGCTTTGTCACCTGTGGGTTGAGAGCTTAATCTACTACACTATTTAACTTATAGCTGGGTAGGGGAAGTGATAATTCCATACTATTTCCATAAAGTAATTTTGCGAAAGTGGGCTTTACGTACTTGGTCGGGATTCGAACCCAACTAATGATGTCTCTTGCTAACCATTACACTGTCCACGCATCCTTCATTCGGCAAAACACTGCATTAGTGAGTTTAATAAGTGTTCTTTATTTAAGAACTTTTTCAATATTGAGTTTAGATTTTTGTATTTTCATGTGAAGCAATTATGAAGAAATTAATTTGAAGATAGTTCTTCCTTTAGGAAAGTTGCTTCTCATTGCGTGTCCTGGGGGAAGAATTAGCTTCAGAAAGACATTTAGGTTCCTAAGAAAGTATACGTAGCTACCTGGCTCTTCTGAACACATCACTTTTTGTTAGATCAAATTAACGTGGTTCTTCTTCTTTATCGTACTATGAACCTTCAAGACGTGAGCAATCGTACCTCTCGACAACTTCTTAGCATTTGTAGGCCTTAACAGTGTTTATTTACTACCAAACCCACTCCCTGTTCTGATATCCATTTAAACAAGCTCGTTGGGTAGGTGACTTTCTGGTTTCTGGCCTTTAATGAGTCCTTTGAGTGTCCAATTTTCCAAGCCTCGTTTCCTCATTATGTGTCTCTGAAATTTCAACGGTCTGTTTCTGATTCTAAGTATAAGCTTCCTTTCAGTTTCCATTTCCCTTAAAAATTCCTCGTTGCTCACATGTTCCATCTATGTTATTCTCTGCATTCTTCTGAACAATTAAATATCCGTTGTCTCAAGTCTTCTCTCCACCTGTCAGAAAATTCCCCAGCACTCACTGCCATATGAAAGGACTGATACCACAATGAAGTTGTTTAGCCGTTCCTTTGTTTGTAATGGCATTTTTCTGTTTCTACATACTTTACTTTGTTTTTTGAAATGCATCTTTGCTATTTCAAGGGACCTTCAGGGTTCGACGTCACCTAGTTAAAACTTTTTACCAGATATTTAATTTCTCGTACTTGTTTGACGTTGGCATCTTCAATTCATAGATCGCATCTTGGGCTCTTCCTCTTACTGACATCTCCATATCTTGTCTTCTTACAATTGATAGATAGTCTTTCCTTCGCGCTATCCTTGACTACCTTGTCTAGGAGTTCCTGCAGTTTGCTTTCTGTGTTTGCTATCAACACAAGATCATCTTCTTCTAATATGTTTTTAAGCGTTCACCGATATTAAATCCTGATAATAATAATAATAGATATTACCGAAAATGAAACAGAGAAATACTAAGTTATTCTCGCAATGTCACTATTAGCAGTTTTCCTATGTGGGGCAATTTGGAATTCACTGATCACAGATCCTATGATTCTTTCGGTTGGTATTTATGAAGATTTTCAATTAAAAATCTTGCTGGAAAATAGCTTTCTCAAGTCCAGTAACTGTTATTGTTCTTTCCAATATTGAATGGGGATTTCCTTCCTAACCTTTTGTTTGATAGACTATAGAACATCAACATATTGAATATTTTGTATAATACGTACTATCCATTTTAAATCTTACTGATTTTGAAAATCTACACGTGATAGGATTTCTGTTTTTTGATATAGTATATTTGTGTGATTGTGTAGCACCATAGCACAAGGTTTGAAGATAAACTGTCCTTGTAACAACCTACAGGTCTCATTCACTCTAAGCCATTTTAAACCTTTGGAGACGGAACCTCATTTAGAGTTTCAGTGTCAAGCCCCCTTTTCACATGCCCTCACAGAAAATCTATCGTAGAAATCGCCATTAAAAGGCCCAGATGTACAAGAAATGCGAGAATCAATTTTATTGGCTGGTACAAAGACCAGTCAGCTATTCTCGAGGCTTGTATTATCGGGCAGACGGAACGGCCGAATCGTCTTCGTGATTTGAACCTTTCCTCTCCTAAGGTTTAACCATTGATCTGAGGAAGTAGTTGTATGTTTCTAACAGTGTAGATATTTCTAAAAGATTTTACTGATGAGTTCCATTCTCACTATCGTCGAGCATGTGCCAGACAAGACTGAACACTGTAAATGTTTACTTAAGATTAAACATTAAGAAGAATGAGAATATTCTGACCGAGAGTGCAAACTTTCGTTGCCTACAAAAACATCATTGTTTTTTTTAACATTTCTCATAATTTTCAAATTATACGCTCAGTATCAGCAAATAAAATTCGAAACCCGGGTCCATTTAACAGAAATGGGGAATTTCAGAATTGGCTTTCTAAAGTTTCTATGCCGATTTCCATGTATTCTCTGACTCTTGTCTATCTCCCAGTGTGAGCAAATATTTTTTTAGTGGCAGTTAAGATTCCAGAATGTGTGTTTGCGGGTGGCCACTAAAAAAATAAACTCGATATAGATTTATCGCAAAGAGACATCTTTTGCATATACTGGTTTTGTCGACTTACGGCTGTTTGATTTTACGACCACGGGGGCGAATTGGTATGTCTGGACGTCTGGACACGACTGCTCCAAGGTTTGCAGACTCAGTGTTTCCCGGGTTGGTGTACGACAATTTCCGCCTCAGTTCATGGAATCTCTAGCACCGCCTTCTCGTGCCTCAAGCTCAGTGTTAGCGCAGGCCTCGGTACATCACATTTTCTATCGAGTTCATTTGTATCATTGAAACCCAGCAAGATGACTACCAAAAAGTAAATTTCTTTCGTCTCCTCCTGAAACTGCCAAGAAGGAAAGAAAGCATATTGATCTGGACACAGAAATGATAGCAATGAAACAGTAAGAATGAGGAAAGTAAGTGAATGTGATCGCACGTGATCTGAAAGTATCACACTCTAATGTGTCCACGATTTTGAACGACAGAGAATGAATTTGGAAAGCTGTGAAAGTTTCTGCGTCTGTTTGATCGGCAGTTATTAAACCTAAATTAGGTAAGAATAATAAACAAAAAAATGCGTTGAGAAATGATACAAATTGTTCAAACGTAAGGAAAACATAAAAATGATAAAAAATATGATAATGCCAAATGTGAGATAAAAAGATAGCAAAATAAATTACAGGCCATATATATATATATATATATATATATATATATATATATATATGAGAAAGAATCCAAGTGTGCTTCATATAGTTTATAAAATAGAGTAGATAAGTTGGTCAATAAAAGAAAGGCAAACGAAAGGATACTGATGTACTCGATACGAAAAACATTTATTAATATTAGCCACATGGCATAAATGAAGCACGGATATTAAGGTTCCAAGTTCGGAATTTTCGGACACGCCTGTGGCCTCCATCAGCGGATGCGAGAAATGAACAGAGAAACGGTGGAAGACTCACCAACAGTAGTTTTGAGGCTGGGGAGAATCCTTTTCGTAGATGGAATTAGTAGTAAAAATCTGATATGATCAGTTTTCCGTGCTGATCACGTCGATCACCTTTCGTTAACTTATCTACTTTCTCTCTCTCTCTCTCTCTCTCTTTTTATATATATATATATATATATATATATATATATATATATAAAAAAACTAAGAGATTTCAGACCTCCTCAGGAGTACGACAAGGAGGAATATCTCCAGTCTATTTAATCTCTTCCGGGATTATACCCACCGCATTTACAAAAGCAGATGCGATGAGATGAACACTGATCATTTAAACATTCCATAGCGCATCTACTAACCGAACACAACGACCCTGCTTTACCTCATGAGGCCAATGTACTGAAGACATAAACATTATTTTGTTGGAATAAGAATTATCTTTAATAGAAAATCAACAAACGTAATCAAACAGACAACAGAAAGTATTCTCTCTCATTGGAATAAAAGCAACGACGGCACCTATTCTGGGTCAATCTTTAAAATACAGGAAGTGGAATTAGTAAATACTAATCACTCCTGATACCTAGGCATATGGATCAGCTATAAAAAATTGAGTATAGAAGCAAAAGAAAATGAAGAATATAGAATGGGCTGTGCCAAAGTTAGTTTCACCCAATGCTACAAATTGCTACACAACCGAAACATCAGCATGAAAACTTGTCATCTACATAGCTTCATCAGATCGAGACTTTTGATATGAATGTCATATATGGCGTCAAAAGCGTTCCGAAATAGCTGTCAGCTGTATACAACCGCTTCCTATCATCCACGGGAAAAAAAGGATTTGAGCGAGTTTAAGCCTCGGTGTCTTGGACAAAGCTCATCCCTCTTTGAACATTGTGGACTGTCGCTATATAATTGCAACTGACAAAAACCACATTACTTGAGAACTACCGACAGTAACAACAATTACAATTGATAAGACGTGAAGAAAAATAATATGATAACAAATGTTAACTTTTACACCATTTCATTTGTAATGCTCAGAAAGAAAACTCCATCGATACTTGTAAGTGCGATAAAATCTACTGAAACTAAAAAAAAAACAAAAACTGTTTCCCTAAAAAATCGTTTTAATAGAGAGATTTTATAAATTTCAACCGAAAACTGTACTGGTTGCTTGGTTAATGAATACCAAATGATTCTT